ATGCACGCTTGCTGCATGGAGAGTTACAGTGAATTAAGAAGTACTTAATGAACACAATGTCTTCCCCATGAACAAAATGGGAATTCAGACACTATTATAACTCCTCCATTTCTATGCAGAATTTTTGGTGATTTTACATTAAGATTTTACCCTTCAGAATTTTACAACTTTCTGCAAAAGAAAAGCTTTTGTCAAATGTTGCAACAATTGCAGAGTAAATGACTTAAAATATAGACATTAGACAAGCTTCAATCACAAAATTTAGACATCAGGTCTAGGCTAGCAGGCAAGTGTAAATAAATTGCGTTGAAGTCAAGAGGCAAAAGCACAGCAGAAACTCAGCATCAAGCATGGCTTTGACCATGCAATGTCAGACCACAAGGACAATTAAGTTAATTAATACAAGCCTTTATGAGGTCTTATGCTGGTTCTTCCGGTCAGCCTAGGTGAGCGACCTTTTCTTTGCCATTGCTTGATGTTGAAATACTGAAACTAGCATTTAAGCCAGCTTTTATATTCAATGCATTTATACACATCCAGGCAAGCACACAGATATTTATGGAGGTACACTTTGCTGATCTCAAGGAATAAAAGGCCAATCCAGCTCTCAAAAGAAAAATATTTCCTATGGGGAAATTGACTATCATGTTCTGCTTCCCTCACTGTTATTGTTATTGTTCAATATAGGATTATGAGGTGTTAAATTCAAGGTAGAGCTAATGCAATAGACACAAGGAGGCGGATAGCTTGAGAAAGCTCACCCTCACCAAAAGTAGCTTTACTGAAACATCATTTGATGTTCTGAAACATCCCACTGATGTTGGCCTTGCAGCATGGCTCAAAACTGAAGGTGGAATAAAGAGGTTGGGCTTATAGAAGGGGCATTCTCTGGAGAGAGGGGAAAGGGAAGCCAAGACCTGTAGCCTCATCTCCAGGGGCAGGAGACACTGGGAGAAAGTCTCTGCCCTAAGAATGTAGGTAAGGCTGGTATGTGGGCAGATCTTCATTACTTTCTTTCCATGCAGATTTTCCTGATTTTGAGATATGATTCCAGCTTCTTCTTTTATTGATGAAAAAATTCTAGAAGAAATGTGTAGACTGGAGTATCTTGTGGTGCATATGCCACAACCAGAGCTGTAGGCTCCAGTGTAAGAGTAGGACAATAGGTTTCTACCCAGGGAGAGGAGAATCTCAGGGGCCAACGCTGCTGGGAGCGTGCTTGTGAAAATCTGGTGAGGGTTGGGGAGAAGACAGTCGTGAGGCTTTTTAAAACTCCCTATGATGACTAAATCATCAAAACTTGTTAAAAAATGCTTGTAACAGGAACCCTTTGAAATAATTTATTCCAGCTTTGATACCAAACATCTCTTGCAGCAGGACCAGCCATCCCTTTGAAAGTGGGATTTCTCATTCCACAGCAGTATTTCAAGCACCATTTCCTACCTTTGTAATACAAAACTAGCAGGACCACCCCTCAGTTTGGTTTATTCAGGAGTGTGTAGCTCCAGTCACATGAACACAAAGTCCTTCCCTCCAGAATTACAAAAATAAACTGTAAACAAATATTTCATTTGTACCTCTCCGTTGTCATCACATTTTCCTTCCCTGTAGCTTTAAGTTTCTAAGGCAGAAGAGATACTTAATGATCAAACACAGTGACTGCCACTGTTAATTCCTAGAAGAAAAGCACATCACTAAAATATGAAGTACTTCCAGTAAGTGGTAATAGCCCAGGCACCATATTTTGCAATGCTGTGTATAAATAATCATCTGTGGATACCAGAGGATTACTGCTAAGAAGAACTAGATACCCTTTCTCTTATTACTGTCAAATAGAAGACAGTACCTGGTGTCAGTTTACCAGCTGGAATTACACGAGTAACAGAATAAAATGCTCCTCTAGTCTGAAAATGGCACTTGGCTGCTGCCTGCTTATCTACTTGAAGCTCCAGTTCCAAGTGGTTTACAGCCTGTAAATATCAGACATATATAATGAAAATACCATGTGCTTGTGTCTGTGTGTCTATATATAATTATACAGGATATATCATCATATCATATATATTATGAGTAAGGTTAGCACTGAACCTAACATCTTACATTTGTAATTAGAGGAACGGGAAAAGAATAATAATAGAGCTGCTCTTATTTTTCTCAACTTCTGAAACAATTAGTAGTTAAAAACTATTTAATCTAGAAACAAGGTGCTATTTGTGAGGTGAGAGGAAACAGGCACATTTACCCTTCAACACACTACAATGCCATCAGTGATGATGCATTTTGATTTGAATGGAGATGTTGTAAGTGGAATACAGCTCCAGCCAAGGTGCTGAGCAAGGTCTCTCCAGCTGACAGAGATGTCTGCACTTGAACAGACAGCAGGCCTATGAAACAACTCATGATCCTATGCCAGCTGCATACTGGTGTTATTGAAGTTACAAACTGTCTTTATATTCAAACTCTATACACTGTTTGACACACAGTCTGTATATGGAGAAACAGTTCACCACCAGGTGGTAGGTGTTCCAACTTCAAGAATTTCAAATGCTGGAGACCCAGACACAGCACTGATTAAAACCAAACCAACTTACCTGTCACCCATACATTGTAGAAAAGCAAATTGACATTCTTCTTCCAATCTGAGCAAGTCCAAGGAGGTACAGGACGGATGCCACTATGCCCCATGCCTCAGCTTACAGCCTATTGATAGTTTAAGAGGTATGGTGTTATATTAAGTTTTAGTCCTCACGTGAACTCTTGTCCTTTACTCTCTCAACTCATTATCGATTTTAAATCCACACTGCTGATAGATTAATCGAAAACCTTTTCCTAGTATTTTTTAAGTCCAACATATTTTCATTACTCCTGTAAAGTTTGTCATTAAAAGCTTTTGCATTTTTTCCCTGTTAATACTTCAAAAATTAAGAAAACACCCATCAGAAAATAAGAAAACAACTGCTTTATCTTCTGCATACACTAAAATCACTTGGAGCTGCTGATGCCAAGATTTATTCAAGTTATACTTTGTTCTCTGTGTGAGCTCTACTGGTACTTGCTTCACTGTGCAACTTCAAAATGTAAGCAACAATTTCTTCATATATTAATCAAGTATCTTCCTCTGTATGGTTTTGAAAATGAAGCAGAACTTGTCACTGGCCTGTAAGATTAGGCAAAGTGTGTACAATGGACACACTTCAATCTCAGTCCATTATCAGATCTGTGTTACTTTGTGGCTCAGATGTGTTTGATATACTGAGAATTACATTTCATAATCAACGTATTCTGCCAAATCAAACTATTATATGGCTGAGGATAACACAGCAATTTTAAAAATGCTATTTTAAAGATTTGCAAAATACCCACATTGTGTTTGTTCAGGTGCGTTTGCTGTATTAAGACCATCAAACTGTGTTTTGAACATAAAACCAACACAATTAAATAAACAAACCACTGCAATTTAATAGCAACAATCTCACTTTACAAGATAAGAAAGATGGAAACTTTGCAAAGGAATCTGAAAAAGAATGTAATTTAAAATGACAGATTAAAGATAACAGAAAGTTGCAAATTAAGTAGCACAATAATTCTAGTACACAGAAGTTTTAATCAGAATGTTTACTTGGTGCAGCATTCTGATTAATAAGTGACACTGTATTACCAGCACTTACTGACAGCTGATAAATAGTATTCCTTTTAAGCAGTATTTTCCTGTTCAGTGACCTTGCACAGACTGACAGTAAGTAACCCAGACCCCAGAACCAGCTCACATGTGGTCAGTAGCAAAATTCCTGAACAGTACAGGAAAGGATCTGGAATGCATGGGATGATTAAAACATAACTTAGTGCTAATATGGTGATGTTAATACTCAGTGCACTCCACGAATACTATCATAGATTTCTTTTACAACATATACCACTTCCAAACATGAATTAATGCAACACAGAGGTGATGTGGCTTTGTGTGGATAGAGAGGAGCACTGGCCTGGGAACTAGGAAACTGGGATTCAGTTCCTAGACCAGACTCCCAGGTAAACCATTCAGTAAAACGGAGATTACAGAACTGGCCTCCTAAAAAAACCTTGAAATCTACTGAAAAAAAAAAACAACAACTAAAAAACAAACAAGGCAACTAATCTGAGTCAGGGCTTATTATTCAAAATTAAATAGGAACTATACAACACATTCTTTAATCACTTTTGAGATTACGTAATAGTTTGCTTTATAAAAGCATGACTGCTTCTAATGCTACATAAAAATAATCAAATTAAACATGATAAACTGAATGTATATGAAGAATTCCACAGGAGTGGAAGTCACATACTTTCCCTTCTAATTCATGAAGAAGTGGGCAGTGTGCAGTAGGCGTTGAGTACCCGCAGAAGTCTCAGAAAGAAAATTGGTCCCACAGGAAGAGTGACTCCATAAAGAATTTTGGTGATAACAGAATTTAATTTCCAAAGTCTTCAGTGATATTTAAGCAAGTGGTTACGTATTTATCAAGATAAGGAGGATGCTTTTCTGAAAAGGGGTCAAAATTTCAGTACTGAGTGAAGTTCATGAGAACTGCATAAGAAAGTAAGTCATACAAGTATAAATATGCACAGCAAAATCAAAACCAAAGTATTTTTCTTATTAAATAAAGTCAAATGATGTGATGGCCACCAACAGAGGAAAAAACCCACAAAGATAATTTTTGCAGTTTATTTTCAACAATAATTTTTGGATAACCAAGCAGCTCTGTATGGAGAAAGCACAGAAGAGTCATTCTGGCACTTTTGGATAGTACTTTTTTTTTTTCCCCAAAATTTTTCTAGACACATTCAGTCCACTTGCTCAGCCTATAGTCCGTTTTATATGAGCGTGATTAGCTCATACAGATCCAGAGGAAACTAACAATATTTACAGTCAATGAAACTATCTTCTTGGCTACTCTGGGCCCTTTAAAATGTCTTCTAAGTCTATCCTGGCTAAACAGAATCCACAATATACATGATAGCTACAGAATACACTGTATTGAAATGAGAAACGCTCAGCACAAAATGGGACTCTTGGCATGCAGCTTAAAATAAAAGGTAGAAGTTCAGACGTTTATAAAATCCCAAATGGGTCAATTAAAAGGAGATAGCAAAAGAAGGGACTGTTCATTGTTACTGTAAAAAAGGCACTTTGAGTAAATGGGACCAGAATTGGAGGAATCTTAGTCGACACAAAGTTCAGTTTGGTTTCATAAAAAGGCTTCAATGCTAAGGGATGCTACTCAAGTTTCCTGCAGTTTTACATTAAAATAAGTTGCTGAGTAGTTTATTATAAAGGACAGAAAATGTTTACAACCAACTCTTAAAATTAAGAAAAGCATAGTATAAGCAAAATATTACTAAAAGCAGCAATGCATAGCCTTTCATTGAGATAATGCACATTTGGGACACCATGTGTCAAACTCTTGGTTTTAAGATACTTTCAGTAGCATTATCAACATAAAATTAGCCTACAAAACAAAAGCTTTACCAGCTCCCATTCATAAGGAGATTGAGGTCATAAACCAACCAAACAATTCGTCAGTATTTTCAACATCCTGGATGACCAATATCAAGTATATGGAATAACAATCATACTCTTTGTTCAGCTATCTCACTGGAGGCAGCCATTAAATCAGAGGAATGATTTTAATTCTTTTCTAACATTTACACAGTAATGCTCATCAAATGTTGCTCACCACAGTTTGTTTTTCTTTTTTCTCTCCACAAAAAAAAAAAGAAAGAAAAAAAAAAAATCAAGCACTTCCACAGAAAGAATATTTGGCAATTTTATACTCCACTGAAAGGTGGATTTTCACAATAGCTCACTTTAGATTGAAAGTCATTAGTGGCCTTTCCTCTCTTTTCTGCCAAGGACTCTTCTTATCTTCACCTTGGTCATCTTCTTCATCCTCATCCTCATCATCATCTTGAACCGATGTTCTGTGTTCAGGACTAGTTAATGGCTCTGGTTTGGTATCCACAGTTCTTGTTTCCTCCTGCAGGCTGGGCAGCTGCACACCACTTCTCTTACTACTGCCTTCTAGCAGGCACCGTAGAGCATTGTCCTCAGGGCTACAAACCGCTGTCCCGCACTCGCTGCCACTTTGGTCCATGTCATCCAAGTACACGAGCTGCGTGTAAGCTGTGCTATCCGAAATCTTCTGCTCTCTCTGCTGGTGCTCTTGCACTGGTGGGTGACTCTGTGGCGCAGACAGATGATCTCCTCTTCCCTTTCGGGCAGATTTTGGTTCGTTCATGTCAACGCCAGAGTCCAAACTGGCGTCGTTGCTCCCATTCCTACCAGCTCTTTGGAGATCAATGTAAGAATGTCTAACGTGAGCATTTGAGCGTCCATCTAGAGAAACAAACCACGCTCGAGGGTGAGGCAACGGCTTTCCACCTCCTAATTCCATCAAAGCCTTTTCTGTGAGAAGCTGCACTTCATTATTCATTTGACCCAGGGACGCATCATTAAGCGAGGCAGGAATGGAAATAGATTCAGACATGGAAGCATTTTGTTGACCCCACTCAGCTGCACCTGCATCTTGTAAATGTTGCTGAGATATTGCTTGGGATGCTAACTGTTGGGGTTGCAGCTGTTGTGGGGGGTGTGGAAAAAGCCGTGCATGAGGGTTAGGCAGCTCAGCCTGAAGTCTTTCTATATCAATCTGCTGGTCAGCTGGGACAACCAGTGGCTGGCTAACAAAAGGGTGTTCTCCTGGCAATTTCATGTAATGACCTGGGATGACCAATGCAGGCAAAACTTTTCTGTAAACACTGTCATTGACTTGGTCAACTGAATTGCAGCAGACTAACTGACCTGGTCGAGGGAAAGATGTGGGCCTTTCGAGGTGATCAACTGAACGAGACATCATACAGTCAGTGGGTCTGCAGTCCAGCAGCTCTTTTTCAGGTGCTGAAGGTGTGGGGTATATTTGCTCCTGAATATTGTATTTACTTCCAGTAGCAATATGGTTCATAGATACTTGAATTTCTCTCTCTTGCTTTTCAAATAAAGGCTGAGACAGTATAGCATTGTAACTTCTTCTGTACTCATCTTTGATAGGCGACTCATAGCCTTCAGCTGTTTCTGTAGATTTTCTTGTCTTTAAAGGAAAACTATCTGCTGATTTGTGGTAGTCTTTTTTTAGAGACCCACTGGGAGTCAGGTCATCCAAGGAAATTCTGCTCTTGTCTTTCTCCTTGTCAGAGAGCAGTTCCTCTCGGGAGCTAAACTCCTGGGAAGTACTGAATGAGTGTTTGAGCATAGGTGTATGCATATCTGCTTCTCCACTAGGTGATACCATCTCCATATGGACAGCACTGATTAATTCCTTTGCACCTGATTTCTCAGTGTGCCCATTGCTAGCAACGGACAACCCGCCAGGAAATTCTGACTCGCGACGTGAAAATATTAAATTTATATGAGACATTGAAGTTGCTTGATCCTTCTTAGAAGTGTCCAGTGCTGTTGAAAGTTGTAGCTTCTTGTGATGCTGACGTGGTCTTAAACATTTTCTTCTACAAAAACCAGTAACAAAAGAAGTTACACATTTATGACAGCCGTACACCAAAACAAGAGCAACAAGTGTGCCTTAATGGGAGATTTTAAGCAGTGATTGGTATTAGGGGAATTGAACTTTTAATACATAGCCTAACAATTAAAAGCTTATCCCAGCAGCAAAGATAAAATTAAAGAATAACTGATGTCAATTGGGAAATATCTCAAGCACCAATTACAAATTGAAGCAAATGTCTGGAGAAGGTGAAATCACTCATTAATATACACTTGCTAATGACAGTTTAACATTCTTTTTAATATAAGACTAATAAAAAGATCACTTGCAAATGCAGAATGGGTACAATAAAGAGAGAGATCTTGGTCCTATGCCCATATTCGATAGGAAGTTTTAAAGCATCTTACAGGGAAAACACAGGTACAGGTGTGTGTGATTCATCCATCATTCTACCAAAGGCAGGGATTGTATATGCTGCATGTAACCAGGAATATATGACATTTGCTCTCACTGTTTCTTCCTTCTTAAAGTGCTTGCTTGCTTTTGTTTTCCCCCCCCCCCCAAAGTAAAAATATTTCAATGCAAAAGCTTTTAATTTCATAAGCCCAAAAAAACTTTGTCTTTCCGTCATAAAGGAAGCAACCAGGATGGTGAATCTTACCTGCAATAATACAAAAGCAGACACAGCAAGACTAAAAGTATGAGAGCCATCCCTCCTAAAATTGCCAAAAGAAACATTGTATGATAGCTGGTAATGTCGTGTGTTACAACGGGACCTGGAAGGCCAGAAAAGAGAATTTAGACCTGTAACAACCTACAAACAGGAAGAGGAACAGTGCTTAAACAAAGAGGGACATCTTCCCTTGTTATCAGGGTGCTAAGTGAGCAACGCTGCCGCTCGTAGCCCTGGTGGCTATTGAGCAGACCATTTCTGTAGAAGGGAGCGAGCTGTTGAGAAATCATGTGCTGGTTTTCATGACTGCAAGTCCAAATACATCATTCTGTGGAAAAGCTGTTAGTTCCAATGGGAGCATGCATCAGTGAATGCTGCCTTCCAGGCCCTAATGCTGATGCAGTGTGACAAAGCTCTCACCACTGGAGAAAAGCTGCCGTAACGCCTACCAGTGCTGTAATGCATGTACCAGCACTGCAGCAAATCACTTCTCTTCAACAACACCCGTGGTGCTTTGCACTAAACAGCACACACAGTGCACTCTACAGGATTCACTGGAAGAGTGTGTTGGTGCTCTGAAGTCTACATCAACCCAAGCCAAGCAGATTTTCAGTAGCTTTAAAAACCAGGCCACTAGTGAAACAGTGTTGTTCCAGGTTTTGGTAATGCTCAGTAGTGTGCTAACACACATTATACATGTGTAACCCTGTTGGTTTGTAAAAGCCTTAGCATGATACTGAAATAAAGGCCCAAATTTTCATCTGCAGGCAAGTAGGTATAGCACCAGCTGACACAGTAACATGCATGTGCTGTGAAGGACAACAAACTTGGCCATCATTAAGGTTCTAGATCATGAGGTTTGTGAAGCCTCAGTCTGTGGATCTTGTGTGGTCTGTAGAGCCACTGCTAGGAATACAAAGGTCATGTTTGTCCATTTGTTGAGGTAAGAAACCAGACAGATTCAATGATGAGTTAAAATAAGCAAGAAGACATTAATAGAATCATATAATCCTTTAGGATGGAAGAG